AATGTGACAAGCCCCCCTCAAAATACCAGGGGTGATGCTAATGATGAGAGCTAGGGCTCAGCCTCTTGGGGCCAGCTTAAAGGGACAGAGTGAGAGTGTTCCTTCACTCCCAGGTGTAAAGTGGAGAGTGGGGATACACAGGTATGTCTGAGCATGGCGGGGAACAAGAGCTCAAATCGAAACTGCTTAGAAGAAAGAGTCAGCCGAGCGCGGTGCTCACACCTGTAGTTCCAGCTACTCGGGAGGCTGAGGTAGGAGGACTGCATGAGCCCAGGAGTTTGACACCAGCCTAGGCAACATAGTGAGACCCTGTCTCAGTATAAAGAAGAAAAAGGCATTGTGGTCTATCCCAGCTCAACAAATGACATCTCCACAGCAAAATCTCCCCAAGTTATGTCCTTCACAATGCTCTTGTGAACACAGGGCTCTACAGACAAGTTTGGGAAAGGCTATAACTATATCCCCCACTTAGAAATTTATAATATACATTAGCTAAAAAGTCTTCCAGTTCATAAACTTATTAAATTTTATTTAACTCAGGATTTCCTAAATTCTTTTTTGACTATGGAGCCTTTTTCATCTGTCATTAATATCATTTCCAAGGGATACATTTTAAGAAATGTCACTTTAATACATTAAAAATAACATGCCTCAAATATTCATAATTAGTAGTTCTCACTATTTTTGGTCTTAAAATTGTAGGCATCAAATGTTCTGTTCATTAGGTGTTTGGTTTACTTTATGGGATTTCAAAGCCAGAGGAACAAATAAAAGACACAGGCGCGCGGTATCTGGCTCTGAGGAGTTGCCCTGCTGCCAGGGAAAACCTCAAGTGACCCCTAGAGCAGGGAAAGGGAGAAGGATTTGCTCTGGGCAGGCCACACACGACCACACAGAGGCAGAACTCACCGCACAAGAAGGCCACAGTCCGCAGGGTTTGCTGCATGAGGATCTGCGTGACCGGGGAGAGGTTATGGTGGGTGTAGTGCGACATCACGATGCCTGAGAACAAGATGGCCATGATGCCTGGAGAGGGAGGGAGGGTCAAAGTGCACAGACATGAACAGAACAGAAAAGCACCTGCCACGTGATACCCAAATCAGCTCTCTCACTTCCCACAAGTCCCTGGAGCCTAGAGTATTAGGGGTTTTAAGAAAAAGAAAAAGAAAATAACACCTGAGGCCTCCCAGAGGCTTTGCAGAAATGCCAAGGGCCCCTTCTCTCTGGCAGCTTCATTATGACCTGAGTGACTTTGGGCTGAGTTACTTCCCCTGCCAGAGCCCGCGTTTTCTCCTCTGTGCGGCGGGACTAATAGTGCCCACTCGCGGAACTGCTAGGAGGGTGAGTGAAAACCAGCCATGCAAAGTGCCCATCACAGCACCAGGGCTTAAACGGTGTGAGCTGTCACTGTCACCTAAGGATAGAGTCGGCCCTCCGCACCCACAGATGCAGAACCTGCGATGCGGAGAGCTGACGGCACTACGCCATTTTACATGAAGGACTTGAACACCCAGGGGTTTGGTATCTGAGGGGCCTGGAGCTGACCCCCTGTGGATGCTAAGGGACGACCATATAAGGGGCACAGGTGGGGCCTGGGGGGGCAAGTGAGCCACGCTGGGGGCAGAAAGGGAGCCTAAGGATCTGGGTATGGAGAATGGGTGGATTCTGATTGAATTTTTAAATATTTTTCCTTAATTTTGAATTTTCCCATAATTATCGTGCATTACTGTTATAATACAAAGAGATTATTTAAAAAGGTAATGTATCTTTTCTTCAGCTCTCATGAGAGTCTACAACCTTCTTTGCTTACTCAGGATTTCAGTCCCAACATTTGTCCACTGCCCCTAAATCACTTTACACAGGTCTCTTCTCAGTAAATCCCTACCTAGGCAGTCTCTATTTCATGTAAGGAAGTTGAGATTTTTAAAAAGTCATCAAATAAGCTGCCAAATATACTAATTGAAAGCCAAATTTTATAAGAAAAATTTTAACTCACTTCTGCCATTTGGTAGAAACGGGGCTTAACTGGCTAACTTTCCATTTATAAGAGGGTGAAAATCACTTCATTGGATTGCGGACTTTTCAGCTAAGCTGACTGCCTACACAATACCCTACAAAATATAAGAATCCTACTCTTCGTATTGCCCAACAGGTGCGGGCTGCCTGAGTGACAGCACCAGCTGGGACACTTGATCTCCTAACCCTCTTAGATAATAGCAGATGCCTCTGCTCTCTCGTTTTTCCCTGACAGAGAGATTCCAGCAATGCTTCCTGGAAGACACAACTGACAATGGGCAAAGGGAAACGAGAGGGCAGGAAATTCCTTCACTGGCTACGTGAGAGCTCTTTGGAGCTCCAGAGTCGTTCTGGTTCACTGTTCCACCAGACACCAAGCAAGTGCACAACAGAAACCTCCAGTTGGTTCCTTTCTAAATTCACTTGCTCCTCTCAGTATGTCCCTGCAGGTGACCACCAGGAGAGCTGGCCCTTCCTGATCCTGCAACAAAATACAGGCACCGACACCATCGAAAGGCAAAGCCACATGAAACAGAAGGGTCACGAGGGTCACGAGACCACAACCTGGTCTGGAACTCAACCTCCACTGTCAGACTGGGCGAGGCACAACCAATATAAGTTTTTTTTTTTTTTTAGAGACAGGGTCTCACTCTGTCGCCCAGGCCAGAGTACAGAGGCACAATCATAGCTCACTGCAGCCTTGAACTCCTGGCCTCAAGCGATTCTCCCACCTTGGCCTCCCAAAGTGCCGGGATTACAAGTGTGAGCCATCGCACCTGGCCCCGTTGTGGTTTTTTTAAGAGATGCCAGAAATCTGTTTCTTATGGGAAATCTCCAAACTTTTAATGATGGTAACTAATTCAAATGTTTAAAATTTTTCTGTATAGATAAACAAACCCTATCTGGGGGCTGAGTTTGGACCACAGCTGCCATCTGTACACTTGACCCCCTGATGTTGGAGGTGGGCCATCTGGACAATCCAAGAGCACTTTCCCCAGGCTAGTGTGGGGTCAGGGCACCTCTCAAGTTTTGGGCTAAAGGAAAGAGTCAGGGACAGCAGTGGGTGCAGAAGGCTGAGGGCCAGCTCATGGGTCTGCCCTAGAAGCCCCCCCAAGTCAGGGGACTCTCCCCACCCAGAGCACCCTCACACGTTGCAGCTGCCGCCCGGAAGGCAGAGGGATGGTGCAAACTAGGCTCACTTTTATAAGTGAGATAAAAGGCATGGCTATTTTTAAAAACACCTTAAGGAAGAATTTCCTTTAAGAAGGCAAAATCATTTAAGAAAGCAGATAACAATGCAGCAAAAATGTTCAACCTCTTGGAAGGAAAGAGGGAAGAAAAAAGGGGAGGGAGGAAATCCATGTCTGCTTGTGGTTAAATCAATTGTTTTAGATGTAATAAAGGAAGACAGTAAGGGATTCAAGTGCAAAAGGCAGTGAATAGGTGTCACGGTGCAATTTCCACTGTATTGTACCTTACCGTGGGCAAAATATGACTTACGTCTTGAGGGCTGAGTCAAACCATACTGAATCTTCAAATTTTGCTATAAAACGTTCAGACTCATGGAGGTATAGAGTGAAAGAGAATCCCCATTCGCAACGGCCTGCTCAGAGGTTAACACTATCAACACTTCAACATGCAGACTGCTAGTTCTTTGACAACATGACTATAAAGTTTACCCATCTTTTAAAAAGTAATAAACAGGGCCGGGCGCAGTGGCTCACGCCTGTAATCTAACACTCTGGAAGGCCGAGGCGGGAGGATCGCTCAAGGTCAGGAGTTCGAGACCAGCCTGAGCAAGAGCGAGAGCCCATCTCTACTAAAAATAGAAAGAAATTAGCC